TTGCTATAAAACTGTATTAAATTAGTCGATGAGGAGGATGAATATTTGTAATTTTGTGTTTTAATTCAATGAATAAAAACAACTTACTTATTTTAGTGCACAGACTGATTAATCTTTGTATGAGCTAAATTGACCAGAGTTTGTACATTGTTATCTGTATGCATTGGAGCATTTTTGACATGTTCAGCATCAGATCTGACTTTTGGTATTTTTACCAAGCAGGCTTTTGTATTTATTTTTGATTATTGAATCACTCATTCAGGACAGCCTGCACAGCATAAGACCTTTACAGAATAAAAACATTAGTGAAATCCATCTCTCAACAAACTAAAGCAAAACAAACAACAACTACTTACATGGGCTTACAGAAAAAAAAGTGATAAATTCATCACCTGTGTTTCTTTGATCAGCTTCAGAGTTTGAAATGAGCAGATGGAAAAGCTTCAACCATTTATGCAAATAATCAAAGTAAATAAAACAACAGAAATATCCTATTCCATGTCTCTGGAAGTCTCTCTTACATCAAGATAAAGGACACCATATTTCTTTAAAAATAAATTATCTTTATTTGCTTTCTCCGATTATCTTGTTGGAATATATAGCCGAAAAAAAGAAAAAAAAGATGTGATATAATGTGATCGATGGGTGACGATATGGGTCGCATTAGTGCTGTCGTTGTTTTCTGCAGAACGCAGAGGAGAGACGGAAACCAGCTGCTGCGTTTCCACACACTCCGCAGCGCACGCATTGTCGCGCGCGCGCGCATCCATGCCCGTGCCACGCCCCCCTCTCTGACCTCCGTGGTCACAGCGCTATCCACACAAAGTGACTCTGCGTGTCCCGTGGGAGCAGGGGAATGCTGGAGAAGACGAGCGGCACACGATACCCCATTGTTTAGCGTAGCAGTCACTGATCCCCCTCCACACCCCATTTAAAGCCCTCCACACCCACAGAGCCTTCAAAGAACAGCGACTGACCATCTCAGCGGGGAAAATTTATTAAAAAGACGTTTGTGGCTTTGCCTAATCCTCCATTCTTCGCTTTAGGTATAAAACCCATATTTGGTCAGCAGGTTCTGTTGGACTTGATGGACCAAGAAGGTGAATTATGCTCAACCCTGATGTCCCCTCAGGATTGGATTTAGGAGGGTTTTGGCCCCTGGGCTAGAATGAGTTTTGATGCCCTACCATGACATGTTTCTTTCAGAACACAGATTGCAACAGATTATTTGGTTTTTACGCATCATCATGGTTTCAGGGGCCTTCTTCACAATTAAACAAGAATGTAAAATAATCTTTATTTGTCTTCTCTAAATAAGTTTATTGGCAAATCACTTACTGCTGATTTTGTATAAACCTTTCCATCATTTATATTAATATCTTTACTTTGCAACCTCATGGCCTTGTAAGATCAACCTTAAAGCCCAAATTCTATGCATCATTTTCTTTTTTTAGTTCATTAAGAATGGAAGACAAGGACCAATGAAGCTATGACTCCATCAGTCTCTCTGTTTCCTATTGATTTAGCTGTTTGTCTGGCAAAAGATGCATTTTCAACATATGACAAAACTCAACTGCATCCTCCGCTTAGAAGCAATACTTTGGTAAACTTTAAAAACAATTTAAAATTAGTTCTAAAGAAGCACAAAAAAGAAGGATATTTTGGCAGATCACAAGCTGGAGGCCTTTATTTGTTTGTAAAGAAGATTTTGAAGCAATGCAAGCCTTGGAAGAACATTGGGTTTCTTTATCTTACAGGGAATCGTAAAAAGAGCATTCCCTGCAAAAGCCTTTGATATGTTCAAAGAAGCATTTCTCAGAAATTCTGCTATCTATAGAAAAGTGACCCAAAACGTTTCAGCAAATATAAAAGGACTATTGATCCAGGTAATGCATCCTTCAATCTACTGTTATGTCACACTTAATTTCCATCTATAAAAGGAAGTAATCACACTTTTCAAAACAGTACCAACAGTATGTCTAACAACACACACATACATAAGATAAATAATACTTTCTTTTAAAGACATTCACAAATTAATGAGAAATAAGTTCCGGATGTGATCTGTATATATCTCTGTTGCTACATCATGAGCTTAAATCAACACCAATCAATATTGGCGTTGCTTGAAAGTTAATATTCTGCAACACTGACTGAAAAAATATATGTTTTTGATCTTTTTCTTCTCTAGCAACTCACTTAACCAAACAAGAAACCCATTTCAAATCTACATGTCTGATTTTTGCATGCAGTGCAGGAATTCTTACTATAATGCATCAACCTGTATAGATTTTTCACGGTTTTGGGGTTAAGTGTGGCTGTCAGTCATACTATAGCAGAGAGGTGTGCTGAGGGAAAATGCGACGGGGCTGCAGAGTGGTCCACAGGATTCCCCGAGACTGCGCTTATAATTGGGAGAACATCTGACTTTGTCCCGCGCTGGCAGATGGTGGGCTGAGGCGGGATCCAAGGGGGGAGATTTACATTCATTGTCCGGGCGCACAACCTCCGCATAGAGACAATAGTCCCGGTAAGGGGCAAGGAACCAGGATTGAAGAAAAAAAAATCTTTTTATAAGCAGGCCAGTGGAAGCGGAAATTCAATTTGGCTGCAAATCCGCGCAAGATATGCAAACATTTCCTTTTTATTGGAGCTTCAAATGTTTAGTTCACGATTAAACCAGCCAAGTCGGAATACATCATACCCTACATAAAAAGTAAAAACTTGTACCTTTCTTTTTCCTTTCAGTTTTTGACTTCATAAAGTACCTAAAACAGTTTAATAATCCATAAGATTTAAAGCACATTTATATATCACGTTGAACATGTTTAAGAATATGTTCCCAAGTGCAGATTAAGAACTCATTTGTGGCTCTGTCAGGCAGGGGAACCAACACCGGCTGCTGTTGCAGATTGATGGAGCAACCAGACGGCCATTGTTCCTCCTGACACTGATGCCATGCGTCCTCAGTGAAATCACAGCGTTCAAAGGAGCAGACGGTGGGGCAGCTATAAGACGCGCCCCTGTTGAGAGCGCACTTGTGTTAAACGCTGACTTGAATGAAAAGACCAAACAGGATTTTCTGATGCTATAAAGGATGCTACACTTTAAAAAATGAACATGGGAAGGTGTTGAATATTAGCCGCTGAAATGGTTAGAAATTTAATCACGCACCTTAGTTTGTTAATTTTATGTTTGGTATGGGTTTAAGCAATGAGTGGTTATTTTCTTGTTTCAAGTCGCATATTATTTAAGGATGGAAATTTAAGATTCACTGTTATTCTAAGTTTCTGTTTGTGGGGTCCATTAGAAATCAGCTCAAACAGGGTGTAACTGAAAATGTCAATCTGTTAAGAACCAGTGGTTCCTGAGCTGCAGCAAAAAATTAAAATAGTTAATTTGTATAGCAAAATAAGTTAAAGTTTGGGCAAGTACATTAACTTTATGTCACTTGTTGCTAATAAAAATTTCAATTAGCTGTGGATATCATCAATCAACACAAAGCCTCGCTATAGTAGATTTAAAAAGTGTTGTTGAAAAAACGAATAAAAAAATAGCTTAGAGAAATAAAACAACAAATTAACTTTCTTCTGTGGATTTTTAAAACCCTTATTCGGGTTTGAAATTGACAAAAATGACCCAAAAGTGACACATACATTTTTCATCATTATTTTTTTTCATAGTTCTATTACTCATTTAGTTCAACTTTTTACATGCAGCCCATCTGCAGTCTATTTTTTGTTTCCAAAAACAGTGCAAAAGTTTTCTAAGTCACATATAGTCTGAGTTTGAGCAGTTTTCTGTTTTCTTTTGGTTTTTATTTATAAAAAAAAAAAACAGTCATTCATTTCAAGATGTTTTTTTTGAAAGGATCCTTGTTCCACATGATCCAATTAAGGATAAAAAAGTTTGAATATTTTGTATTTTTGCGAAGAAAACATTTTGAATGAAGTCCAGATTATTTTAAATAACATCATCAACAACAACTACAAACATTAAAGTAACTCTCTAATTTTTTGCAGTGTAAAAGATAACTTTTGTGTTTCTATTATTAGGACTGATGAAATTTCATTCTCATTTTTTCAACTGTGCACAACATTTGGGGGTACCTCACTGGTCATTGTTTGAAAGGGTAAATAACTAATAACGCAAAAACAAGTGAATGCAATTGTGATGGATGAAACATTCTGTTAGATGGACTGGCCACACTTAAAGTTGGTAACACTGTTTGCGAGAAAGAAGAGCTTATAAAGCCAGAGATCTCTGCTGATAAACTGCACATAATAAACTTTTCTATAAAGTGTATTACATTCTACTTTGTGTTAACACTTTATACCTTAATCAAACAACAGTTTATGAATCCTATTTATTCAATTAGTTTTTGACATGGGAGAACAAACTGACTGATAAAAGTTAGCATTTAATGAATTACATTTTTATGATTTGTTGTTATTTCATTTAGCTATATATAAATTCTACTAATAAAATTTGACAAAAATCCATTAAAATTTAGGGCGAATCAAATTCTTACAACATTATATTGGCATAATTCCAACATATTCTTTTTACTAGTGTACCCACATTTACTGCCCTTGCATTTAAATGCAATTATAATTAAAATGTCACATAGGAGCCTGAACATTAAAAACGCATTCAGACTAAACACTTGCATTTATTCATGTGTTTTAGTTTTGTATTTTTAAGCAAAGGTATAAAAACTCATATTAATGATTGATTTGAAAAAGACCATTTTTCACATCCTGAATGTTGTTTATTTGTTCCATAAACAATAGTTTCTGTTGTACTAACACCAAGATGTTACCTTTTAAAATAAATTCTCAAACCTGTGGTGTGAAAGTTTGTTGAAAAAATCCCCGGTTGGATGATTAATCTGGCAGCAGCCCAAACAACGGACGGACTTTACACCAATGAGAGCATCCATTTCAACAATCGGTCCCCCATATGGCACTTGGCCCCTCCTCCACGCTCCATCCCGGCGGAGGGTCTCATTCATGCTCCACCACAGCGGCGCACTCCAAGCCTACTGGCCTCAAGATCAGCTGTTTTGATCCGATCCGGCCTTGTGACAAAAGAAGACTTTCTGTGCGCAGATCTACTTTTAAAGAACATCTATAGTCCCTCCTGGTCCTCTCTGTCGGAGCAGATGATCCGCTACACTCCCACTTCTGCTCGAGATGTTTGCTCGGACAATGCTTGTAATCTGTGGAGACATAATTTACATTCATCTTTTAAGTCTTGAGTGACAGAAAGTCAGTTCGGATATAAACTGAGTCGTATTTGAAGTCATAAAACAGCAGCAGTTATTTATTCTTATTTCTTAAAAGCTCACTGAAAGCTACTTGTGCTGCGCTTTTGGAGGAGCGCTGCGCTCTGAAGGGGACATTCTGTTTGTTGCTGAAGTGCTTCAGGAAGTCCGAGTCATCTTTTAATCCAGAAACAAATATAATTATAATATTTCAAAAAGTGTTCAACATCGCCCAGGACAAGGCTTTAAATGTTCGGGATTCAGGAGCAGCTGATAAGAGACGTGAGCGGATTAAAAGAGAGAACTCTTGGAGAGGAGATGGATCCAGTCCGGTCGTGGGTGCGTAATGTTGGGGTTGTGGATGCAAACGTTGCAGCGCAAAGGTAAAGTACAAAACTCAACTTATTTCGCTATCTCATGATCATAGAACTGTACAGATTTTAAATTTGGAGTTAGGATATCAGATAAAAAAAAACAAAAAAACAAAACAAACAAAAACATATTTTAAAATATGAAAGCAGCAGAACAAGAGAATAGATACACTATAATGTTTTGTGTATTGAGTTAAAACTGTACCTTATCTCATATAGCGCGCTGTTCTTTATACTCTTTCTAAAAAAAAAAATAATAATAATTCAAAAAAAAAAACAAAACAACAACAACAAAACAAAACATTTCAGCCCTTTAGTAGTGTTGATCTTTTCGAAAATAAAAAAGCAAGTTCAGGTAATAAGAATAAAACATTTCTTATCATATATTGCATGTTTTATTTTCGTATCATCTCCACTAAGAGCAAAGTTAGGTCGCAGAAAACCAAGGTGGCACAGTTTTAATTTTAACAAAACGAAAAGAGAACAAGTAAAACTAAATGTTTCAAAACAGTTTGGTATTTTTTCTTGTACAATCCAGTTTTTATTGGTTTTGTTTTTGTCAAGTTGAAAATATTGTTCGAATTTGAGCAATATTATATTTATTGGAATAGGCTTTTAAAAAAAGGAATTTTCAAAAGCAGACTTGGGTTCAAATTTACATGTTTTACACAAAACATTTACAAAATCTAAAAGAATAGTAATAGTCCAGTTATTTCAATTTGAAAGTAGATATAAGGAACCTAACTTTTTTTTACTTCAAGTTGAAATTAAATGAAAAGGCCATACCCTTAAAAACTAAAGTTCTATGTCATTTTGTCATATTTTAAAAGCATGCTTCTTCACTAGCAAAAAGAATGAGTTTCATTTTTATTTTGGCATTGTGTTTGATTTTTTTTTTTTTTCCGTTATAGCTTAAAAAATAAAGCCGGAGTTGTTAAACAATACTTTAGGGAGTTTTAAAGAGGCAAATCATGAGCTAAACAGATTTAACTTCATGTTCTTGCAAATAAAGAAGAAATAAATACAATTTTTGCAGCAGATCTATTTTTAAAGGGGTGTTTTTTAAATATTTTGTTTAACAAAAAGAACAGATAAACTTTTTTTTTATTTACAATGATTTTTTTTAACCTTGTGGATAAAACGTATTTAAAACAGCTATCAAAAGCCTATTTTCTGTGTTTTTTTTCTTATCAATTTATTTAAAGAAAAATAAATAGACCTCTTAAACAGAGAGTTGAAGTGAACACAATGATTCTTGAGAGCTGATTGTTTCTCTTGCTGTTGTATTCTCAGTGGAGTGGCCCTCTCAAGGGCCCATTTTGAGAAGCAGCCACCCTCCAATCTCCGCAAGTCGAACTTCTTCCACTTCGTCTTGGCCCTCTATGACAGACACGGACAACCTGTGGAGGTGGAGAGGACAGCATTTGTGGACTTTGTTGAGCATGAAAAGGTGAATGCCTTTCTGTCCCAATGGTTTTGGGGAAAAAAATTATATATATATATATATATATATATATATATATATATATATATATATATATATATATATATATATATACATATAAAGAGACATTTGGCTCCCTCCAGGAGCTTTACCTAATCTTCTCCATCCTGAGTACAGTCAAACATATCGAACAGCTGACGGCTACATGTTTACATGAGCTTCACCCTCAATGAGCTGATGATGGGGGATTGAAAAAGAATATCTAATGACTAATTAGCAGCTTGCCTCATTAGGGGGATATCACCACTTTTTAAAATGCAAATTATGCTTGCTGCTGTTAAGATATACAGTGAACTAATCATCAAAGTGTCTTTTTGTGCAATCCCCCCCAATCCCCCCAAAGCTTGTGTGGAATGGATAATGTTGAGGCTGACTGTCCTCACGTTGGACATGAACAAAATGAGGAAAAGTTTGGCTGGAGGAAGAGTTGAATATAGAAGGGTGAGAACTTCTAGCCACATGATGAATGTTTCATGGTTTTTGATGAGGGAAGTGGACGTCTACGTCAGCTTTTTCATGAGAAGAGTAGGAAGGGGGACATCTTCCTGTCACATGAAGCTGAAACTTAGTTTTTGTGCTGTAATTGATGTAGGCAGCGGTGCAAATGCCAGGATTGAAAGCTGTCACTGTGCTGCTCATTGTGCCATACAGGCCAGCACAGACTCACATGATGACAGGGGAGAAGTTCATTTTCTGCATGGTTACCCTGGCATCTGTTTTTGCTTCGCAATTAAGCAGCAGTAAAGCGATGGCATGGCAAAATAAATGCTCCTCTGAGTGCATTTGCAAAAACTTTATGAAGCCATGCATCCATCTATCACCTGTTGTGTTTGAGGCTCACCCCTCATATTAGACTATGAGTTCTTCTTCGTGCATCTTAATTCCCACACTTACTTCTTTCTTCTCTAAAACTGCCTCGTTTTGCCTCTTTCTTTTTCATTCCAATATCTCCTTTCTCGCTCGCCTCCTTTTCTAAGCTCATCTTTGTGAGATGCAGGCCTCCTGGGTTATTGGACCAGAGAGCATTCCTTTGAGACCACTTAGAAAGACCAGTGGAGGTAGAGGATGAGAAAGAAAGAGGCGGAACAAGAGCCAAACAGGGAAGAAGTGAGAGCTCAGGAAAAGGAAGGATGGTGGAAAAGAAGTTTTTTATGTCAAGGTCTACTGGTGCTTGGTCTCACACATAGCAGGGGAACACAATTTTCCCTCCATACACACACAGGCATTAAGGCTACAAATGTTCCCTGTGCTTTGCTGCAGAAAAGACCATTTGGTTAGATCTCAGTGTTTCAGAATGGTTGTATCAGAAATGATGGCTCAGGTTCTACAGTAAGCCTCAAACTGAAAGTTAGGGGCTCAGCTTATATGGAAGAGGAGCTTTGGGCTTTACTGTTTCAAATCCAATGAAATGAACACGGCAAAGCATTCCAATGGACTTTGTTTACATCTGATGTCCATGTCCAGATATCTATACCCAAGTGTACTCAACGGCATGCATTGTGCTTCCCTTTCTTTGTTTCCCCTCTTTCCAAGGAGCAGACTGGAGAAAAGACAAATAATGGCACTCATTATAAGCTACAGCTTCTCTACAGTAATGGTAAGTTGGCACAAAAATCTATCTATATTTTGATTTCATTTAGCCATAATTGAACTCACTACCAGGAGTTGTAAGAGTTTAGCGGGACATATACCTCCTTTTCCACATCCTTACCCTGAAGCTCATTGTCTGATCTGTCTTTTCTGAGATATTAAAGCTCTCCAAGCAGCCACCTCTGGGCTCAAGTAGAGGAAAATGAGCTAAATGTTGCCAAGCCATCCAATCCCCCACCCTCTGCCCCAGTAGTTTCTTCACATCAGATCAGGGGATGCACAAAAAAATGTGGTTCCCATGAGCCACTGCTGCCCCTGCTCTGCCATCCCAGTGGCACCCATGGGAGAGAAGATAAAAGGCGAGTTCTGGAGAAGCCCCCTTCATGCAGAGACGAACACACCACATGTACACGCAAGCAAGCCAAGAGCACTTCCTCTACATGCCCTCCTCCCCCCTCTCCCCCAAAGCTATATCAAAGGCGACTCAATCGAGACTTTGATGAGAGGAACACATTTTAAAAGCAATACTCTCAAAAGTCTCTGTAGAGAAAACCACGAACAAGACTGTCTCCTCTCAAGCAGCATTTCATTAAATGCTCTCTCCTTCCGTTCGGTGCTTTGCAGAGGTTTGAAATCTCAAAGAAAGACTCCAAAGTTTCTAAATAAGATAACCTTGCAGGTCGATTAATTTTTCATAGTTTGTCAGTTTACGCACAACGGTTTCAATGGATTTTTAATCAGGTTCCGACAAGCACAGATTGGCAAACAAAAATAAAACGATGGCATACACTCCAGTTCTACTGTGCTGTACTGTATTTAACTATAGCCCAGTGCAAATTCAGTCATTTAACGAGGTCACCTGTCTTTGGTGTGTAAAATATTCGGTTGTTGTGTAAAGATCTTAAAGAACATTAGTGGACTAACAGCATCTTGATGACCAAGCACAGACAGGTCTTTATGAAAGAGCTGGAAGAAAAAAGTCTATTGTTTGGAGAAAGCAATAAAAATACAGTCTACCTTAAGACATCCAAGCGGATCCAGCAGAACATGCAGAAGAGGGTTCTCTGGTTAGATGAAACCAAAATACACTTTACCTTCTACATACAAAACGCTGTAAAAAAACCCAACACTGCCGGCACTTTCCGGTGGGGAGATAAAACCCTTTTAGAGGTTAAGGTAAATATAATATAAAGATGAATAAATGGCAGTGCAGAAGGAAACTGCTAAACATCCATCCAGAGTAGCAATGCAATGGTTTCTGTTAGTGTGTTCATACCTAAATCCATTCTGAATGCAAAGAATAGGCCAAAAGATCAGGCTCAACATACGCAAAGCTGTCAGAGACATACAAAACACAAAAACACTTGAACTGAAAGTGGTTTCACTGTAGTTTATTTAGGGTTATTACAATAAAATGGTATTACTATAAATGTATGCCATTTTTCAAAAAACCTAAAAGAAAAAGCTTTTAATCTGTGTATCATTTTTTTCCTACTCCACAACTTTCCATTTCTTGTGCTGGTAAATCCATAAAATCCCTCTACAACAGTTTACAATTTGTGGTTTTAATGTGACAAAATGTGAAAAAGGCTCAGGGAGTATATATACTTTATGCAAGGCTCTGTTTTGGTTTTTTGTCAATCATGTAAACCTTGAGCAAAACCCAAAACTAACACATAAACAACCACAAAGATCACATCCTGACAAATCCGTGAGAATCCTGTAAATTATGGCCCTAAAGTAGGACATGAGAAATGTTTATCAAACATCAAATGACTCAATTCCCTCAGAAACCATTGCAGAAAAAAAAGATATGATTGCACACCAAGCTTGTCCTTCTCTGCTGTTTGGACTGAGTTCAATAAATTTTTTTGTGAGAGATTGTCAGGAGGTTGTAAAGAACAATGTGTCCCATAAATCTGGTTACTTTATTTTTAGTATCTGGTGGGTGTTGAAAGCATTCTTGAGTATATCAGGACTGTCTTTGAAATACTTTGTCATTTCTGTGATTTTTCAAAAATGAATCCAAAGTCTTTTGGTCTTGATTTATTAAATGAAAATGATCCACATATGTAATTATTCTTATTTTTTTCTCACGCTCAGAAAGAAAAATGTTCCAAAGTTATTGATGAGATCCATATCCTGTCTTCTTAATACTTGCAGGGGTTCGCACAGAGCAAGATCTTTATGCACGACTTATTGACTCCGTCACTAAACAGGTTGGCAGGCTTTCCTTAAACCCTCCAGATAAAATTATAACTAATTCTAAAAATATAGATATATATCCAGTTATTTTACATGAAACTGAATCATTTCTGCTGATCTTTATTTCCTCCTAACAGCCCATTTCATATGAAGGACAGAACAAGAACCCAGAAATGTGCAGAGTACTGCTCACACATGAGGTTATGTGCAGGTGAGTGACACGCTGATTGAAATCGTGTCCTAAAGAGACTGAATCCAAATACCCCTTAGTCTGTTTCACTCTGGTTTCCTCAGTATGAATGAAATGTGTTTTTTTGGGACTGTTTTTTTTTTTTTAAACAGCTCTGCTGTTGACCTGTAAGTCTACCTGGCCTGTCATCATCCTTGTTTCAGTGCAAATGCCTTGCTGCTTCCTGCTTAATCGCAGCAGGTCACTGTCCAGCTCCTGTTTTTTTCTTGGGCCTCCTCTCTTTCTGTTCTGAGACTTTGCAGGCAGAACTCAGTACCAAGCATTTAAAGGTGAACATTTTCTTCTCTTTACTCATTGAACAACTCCTGCTGTTATATCTCAGCCAGAATGGCCTGTGTAAACATGGGAAGACAAGTTTACGCCACCAAGTGTTAAAGAGCTGATAGATTTGAATAAGAACCAATGAGATTTTATTGTTATGAAGTGAAGAAAGATGACAAGTGAAAACAGAGTTATGGATGAAGAGTGTAGTCTGGAAGTGGGGCAGTGACCCGGGGATTCAGAGGGGTAAAGGATGCAGTCCTGGGACACGTAGAGAGGAATTGAGACGGACTGGGCTCTGCCATTGTTTGGCCAGCAGATGCCCGAATGTGACTCACAGCTGGCTAATAACAGAGCCGAGGAGGCAGAGGGCAAGCGTCACAGCTGGGGAGTGAGGCCGTCTGACAGGGGGGCGGAGGGGGGGAAGGGCAGGGCCAAGCTGGGACACGGGAGGGCTGAGGCGAGGTGTAGGGGTGGCAGATGGTTAGGGGTGGGGGCACTTTTGTTATGCAGTGAAGGGGACTGGGAGGTGTATGGGGGGGGTGTGGGTGGCTGGCCAGCAGGCTCCTCGGACAGAACCGCTGACGAATGGTAGGATGCTGTGGGTAGGATGTGTGTGTGTGTGTGCGAGCAGTGGAGCTGCATGGGGGTTGAGTTTGATTTCAGAATCAATGTGACAGATTGCCTGGCTGGCTTTTCACTTTTGAATGGTCTCTCACTGTTTGTAGGGTGTGTTGTTGTACCTTTTCTTCCTCTTTTCTTCTTTTGTCTATTCTTCCCCTCCCCTCTCATGCCTCTTTTGTGTGTTTCTGGATTTTGGCTGACCGTGGGGCAGAGTTGTCTGGGGCTGTGGATGCTTATGGGCCAGAAAAATAATAGGCAGCTTGGTTTAATTTCTGTTGACTTTTTGTCTTCTTCTTTACCCACCAAACCAGCCGCTGCTGCGAGAAGAAGAGTTGTGGCAATCGTAATGAGACGCCCTCTGATCCAGTCATCATTGACAGGTAATAACATAAAAGCATGTCGCTTACAGTGTCCAAAACCTCACCACCTCCACCTTTACACATTTAATATTCCGTTCAACTTTTCTGCTTGTATACACAGAAGTAAACATGAACTCTGTGATTGATGATGGAGACATGGAGCACTTTAATATTCTCCTGAAAACTTAAGGTGTAATATAAAGTTTTCAGAGGTTGATATGTGATTAAATTCATTTGAACATTGTTTTTTAATGAATGAAAAATCATAAAAAAATAGCTGATAACATAACAACTGAAACATAAATTGTACTGACAATGTCCATTGGATAAAAGATGGTTTGTTTACAACATTCAAACGGGGGATACATTTAGAACGAGCTGGTTTTTAAGGACGCATTCACACTGGTTGAATGGCCTTTACTTGGGCTTTACACTATATTCAGTCTTTCACCCATTCACAACGACATTCACACTCTGATGGTGGCAAGCTACACTGATGGAGGCTGCTGTAAACATACGCCACTGGGCCTCAGACCACCATCACTAAGCAAGTGTCTTACCCAAGTAGACAGGGACAGAGAAAGCCAGAGGTGGTTCAAACCTGCATCCCCCTGGTTTCAGGGGAATCTGATGCCACTGTCACCCAGGAATTCATCATCCCAGGGATTGGCCCAGAGAATGATTAAAGTGAGAAAATTCACACCTTCTAAGAGTTTAAGACTGGACCAAAGACCAAAGAGATTGCTTTTAGGGCCACTATTTATTCAATACTGTAGTGATCAAGAAAAAACAAACAAAAAAAAGAACACAAAGAAGAAGGTCTCTTTCTTGGACTTTATGTTGCTGTTTTAGTTTTCACATGTAGTTGCGCACCTACACATATGCACTATTTCACTTCTTCTTGGGATTCAGGTGCTTTATTTCATTTTTCCCTTTCTTGTTCTCACATTGAAATTGATATATCATGTACATCACATACTCTCTTCCTGCTTTTTTGTATGTGCTGGGATGAGCATGCATTCCTACTGCACACAAACCACTGCAGGGTCCTGATAAACCATTACAAGACTGTCAGTTGTAACCTTTCCAGGTTAAGTTCCTGGGTCCGTTTCATGGTCTGGTGTAATCCACTGCAGAAATGAATGGCTAAAAGTGCTCTAAAGTTTGAGTTTGGTTATGAGAGCAGACAGATATATACAGCATTTTGATTATAAGAAGATATAAGCTTTTTAAATATTTTCAATTCTGTACTATTAAATTAGTTATCCCAAATATAAGAATCATTTAGGTACAAAAAAAGGAGTAACCTGAAATGAGTCTACAAGCATTATATTGAAATGTATTTGACTTAAATGGAATTTTAGACTCTTTATTACCATCAGATTAATAAATAGACAAATTTTATTATAATCTCTTCTGAAATTTGTCAAAAACATAAATGGTAATATAGGTTGAAATAAAAAACCATTAATAAAAAAGGAGATAAAAATTGGTGCATTAGCTGCTCATATAAAGACCCTACATAGAAGACAATACACAGCCATCCATGCATTTTATCATAGAACATATAGCAGATTTTAAAAGAGTTCAAGCAGAAAAAAGAATACAAACAAAATAAATAAACTTTAGGAAATATAATAAGATTGATGAGGTCTGAATCAGTTCTGTGAGCCTTGACCCTCCAAACGTGATGAACTTATACAGGAAATACCTCCTGTTTTTAAAAGAAGGATGAAGTTTTCTATCAGTTTGAAAAGCATCAAGTGTCAGGTTTGTTATGTACAATATCCTTCCCTCTGTACTGTCTGAACGTACATCTGAAGGATGATACATCTCTCAGGTCCAGAGTCAGATGCTTGCTTGATGTTTTTCAGTTCCTTAATTACCTCCACAAGCTGTTGATCTGCTGTTTTTTTTTTTTTTTCTTAATGGGTCTTAGTATATTTTTGTCTCTCTCACAAAGCCTAAACACATACTGCAGGGTGCTGTCACTGTCAGGTAACATACAACTAAAAAGGAACAGTTAAAAAAAACTTGCTTAAGTCTAATTACAAACTTTGAAAGAACCTAAGAACTCCTGGGGAATACTCAATCCCATTTTTAAAAGATTCTAAGGCAGCATTTCTCTAACAATTTTAATATATAGAAATTAGGGGATGTTGAAACCTATCCATGTTTAACTTGTTTAACTGTTTTTATAAGTGAATCTCAATAGGTTTGAAGGTCTGAGTTAACCTGTACTGCTTTTTTTTAAACCTAATTTCTTTCTTCCATTTAACCTTTCATTAAAATGCAAGGAAAAAGCCCCATTTGAACAGCCAAATTCCTCAAGTCAGTGATCCAGCAGGCCTTAACCTGAGCAAATGATATTTCTGAATGATCATATCTCTGTTATTTTAAAGTGATTTTATAATTTAATTAGAAAGTGAGTTACATTTAGAATTTAATTACTGATAATGATATAATTTAATAAGCTCTACCAAATGTTTTTCTGCACATGCTGATGGTTCTTTTTAAATGTCTGTATTCCTCTAGCGGTTACCTTCCATCAGAAGCATGTATCGGCTTTATTCCTCCAAATCCACTCTTGTAATAAATGCTCACCTTCACAGTCAGTTATCAGGCTTAGCACCAGAGGACCACTGCTTATAATCAGCGTGCTGTTGAGACTTCACGTCCTGGGCTTCCCGGAGGCCTTGTCCTGTCTGCTTGGCATTAACCACAGTGATGAATGCTCACCAGCAAACCGTACATGTGAAATAGTTTCTTTGTGATGTCAGAGACACCACCCTCATCCTCTCCCTTCCTCTCTCTTTCTCACTCCCACCTTTCTGCCCCTCTCATTCTTCTTCCCCTCGATTGTCTGTCAAGGAAACACACACTTCATATACGTCAAGGACCCTTTTTATTTTTCCCCTCCTCAGTTCAAGCTGGCTGGCTGTTGACAGTGTGTCTCTGAGGATCTTGGCTGAAGATAGTTTTGATATAACGGGAAAAGAAAAAAAATTGCGCTCTTGTTTCTTTGAGATTTCCCAGAATACAGAAGAGCAGCTGCTTTTCCCATTTCCAGTGGTATACAGCTCAAAAATGACCTCTTTTTGGCCCCTTTTTTATTTCATACTTCCTCCTAACATGGTTAAAAGTCTTTGAAATTGGCCTGTAAGTTACTCTCTTTAGCAGGTACAAAAGGACAAACCAAAGTTTTTCACTTTCTATAAAAGTATAGACTCATGTTCAGCTTTTGTGGGTTCAGATCACTGACCCGGGGTATGATCTAATCAGTCTGGGCCAGTCTTATCTTGATGGGAGCTTCTCCAACATAAATGACCTGCAGCATCTTTTCCTCAGGGATCAACCAATTAGCAGCCAGTTATTTTTTGATAAGCCAAAGAGATTTTGCTTGACCCACATGGCTTTTTCCATTTTAAGAGGTGATTGGTTGAGCACAGTTTGTGTACCTATCCTCAGAAAGGCTTTTCTGCTGGCGTTCACTTAAGAAAGATGTATGTTTTTTCGTGTTTCTGTTGCGACCCTTTATTTATGTATATGGATGTATGAACGATTGTCTGTGTGTCTGCGTGACCCTTACTGTGACCTTTCTCCCCAGTCACTGCTTGGAGCTTAAATTATTCATGTGTGTAGGGATGTGTGTGTGTTTGTCTGCATCCGTGCAAGTAATGCGTGTGTGTGTGTGTGTGTGTGTAGGAGACGGCCTGTTTCTGTGGCTGCAGTAATCAGCCTCCTGCTCCCAGCCCCAACACCTGTTCTCCAATTAACATGCAGCGTGCTGGGGCCCACTCACCCCCGTTGCCCAGCCGCTGCTTTCTACCCCTTTTCTCCTTTTTTGCTCTTTATTCTCTCACTTGCCTTCCTCCTTTAAGCTTCTCCTCCCACCCAAGCTTGTGCACCCCCTTTTCCTCTTTTTATTTCCTCCATATTCCTATTTTGACTCCCTCTTTTTTAATTCCCATGCTCCTCTTTCCCTTTTCCATCCCTTTTGCCCCCTACCCTATTCCCTTTAGCCTGTCTAATTTTGCCATAATTAGGCGGTGTCATTAGGACACCTACCCAAGCACAAGGGAGTTTGCAATTCCCCAAACGGCCCCAAACCCCCACTTTTCTAATCTCCTTTCCATATTGTTTCAGTTTTCTCTCCCCCCTTTTCTCTCCTTGCTACTACTGCTGGTGCGGCTGCACCCACCTCCCGTATGCCCTCCTGCACCCCTCCTACTCACTAATCCCGATTTGAGAGAAAAGAGAAAGAGAGGAGATCACAGCTGATCCATGAGAAGGGGTGGGGATTGGGGGACGGAAGGATGAAAAGGGCAAGGGCAGTAGCTGACAAAGAGATGACTCAAGTTGCTTATAGGGGTGAGCATTATCTAATGCTCCACTGCCTGCTGCGTCTAATTGTTTTACATCTGTATATTCTTAACACTGGTGAACCACCATAATCTTGAAGTGGCTTCTCTGTTTGCGGAAGGCCCACTTATCTTTGACTGATAGGGTGACTTGATCCCTGATTGGCTTGATGATTGATTAGTAGGAAAAAAAGAGAGATCGATTACTCACGGCTCATCTCCATAAATGTTGTTTGTCAAACCCTCGCAGGTAAACTGTATACTGCTCTTTTATTGGTTTTCATTCTTCAAATAGAACCAATTGAACAAAGTATTTGTATTTAAAGTAGGAATAAATAAATCCTTTTCAGTCTATCTAGGGTCTCAATATAAACCTAAGCAGATCTGTTAATGGCGGCGTTATTACCATTCATGACCTTTGACCTCTTAGAAACTATATTGGTTCTGGGCTCTGGATTTATGAGTGAACCACAGGTTTTTACAATGGAGACAAGCAGATGTCAGTATTAGTGTTAGTCTGTGCGTTTCAGACGGGAAGGGGGTGGGGGGTGCTTTTTAAATTTAGCTAAGAAGCCCTGATCGATACTTAGTCATAAGGAGTGTGTGGAGGGATCCATCGTATGAGGCCTTGTGAGAGGCAGTCGGGTGATCAATGGGAAG